TTTAACATAACCCCCATTTTTTTAATTTTTAGTAAAAAATACTCACATAATTTAGGCCAGAACCAAAAAATTTGGCCTGAATTATATTTTTGTATATTTAATTTAATATTTTAGCCAATCATATGCAGTTCCCCCCTCTTAGATTTGACTGTTAAACAAAGAATCAAATTGGTCTGGCCTAAGGCGTATATCCAATAAGCCCTAATTGAATGAAATTGTATAACGATGTGAGCAGTGTGGCTTCGTGTTACCTTGGGATGGTTTAATCACAGGCGAAGCAACTGTTCACGAAGGAGTAAACCAACAAAGGTTGTCACTCAATTCCCCGAAAACTACTTACCCGACAGTCCATTTACCCGATATCACGTTGGGTGACAATTTAGCATTTAGTTAGCTATAGGTATCTTTATTAGTAAATTTTCATCTCAAGTGATGTCGGGTAAATAGACTTTCGGGTAAATAGTTTTCGGGGAATCGTACTGTAACCGTAAACAACTGCTCATAAAGGACATGGGCGATTTAATCATATATAGACTTTACTTAGTATAGCTTCGCGAACAAAAATGTATAAATATAGGTTTTTTTTACCTTTCCAAAAAGTCATGAGTTACGAGTTATAAAAATAAAGTTATCAATTAAATAAATTACTATTACCAAATCCTTAAGTTCCAAAAAAATATATAAACTTTGCTAATTAAATAATCGATTCCTCATTACGTTTTATTTTATTATTTATTAAAGTATACGCTGTGTCTCTTAATTAACATAAAGGAAGTAAGCACTGAGGCCGAATAGACCTTTCACTGAATAACTAAGAGCCGTATTCTTAACGAGTTATATAGGAAGTAACGTCACGTGTAGAATCATTGTTTAGATTGTTAAATAGGATCAGTAATTATTTGAACATTACGATTGTTTTATTATTAGTATTGTGATCAACAATAGATCACGTTTAAGTTATTGGTTTTATTGTAGTACATTTAATAGTAACGCCACCCTTATACGTAGATATCGTATCATTCCGATCCACCTTAAAGTATCATCCCTTCCGATTAACAACCATCGACCCGGATATAAATAACCCACCGATATTACTTACCCTGATAGTAATTATATCATTAAACCCAATATCACGTTAACTATCGAAGTTAAACCGGATAACATTAATCGCTCCCAATTTACGATAGTAATATTATCCAATAAATCTAATATAAGAAAAAAATTCTACATTAAATTTTATTATAAAATTTTAGATATTTTCCTAGCTATTGGCTCTAACCCTGATGTCAAAGAAAATTTCGTTTATTTGTTTTGTTTACTTTTTATAGATCTTATGCCACACAAATTATTATTATAGTAAATATAAATAATAGGATTTTGTTAAATATCGCAGGTTGCGATATCGCAGTTTAATATGACCGACCAATTAGATTACAGGATATTGTGTAACAAAAACGAACAAAAATTAAAAATTTTAAATATCTTAAAATTTTGGGCTTCTAATTAAAAGTTTTCAGCTCTTAATTTTGCATATATACATGCTCTCTAACCCTAACCCCAATACTAGCTCGAACCCTAACCTTAACTAATACGAATTTTAATTTTTTTTTAAATATTAACCTGCGATATCGCAACTTGCGATGTTTAACAAAATTCTAAATAATAATAATATTTTTTCTTTAAAAGATTTATTATTAGAATTTTGCTAACTAACCGCGGTGATCATCACCGGTTTGTGTTATTAGCCAATAAATTTGCAGGATCAGGTGTAATAATGAAACCACCTTCCTTGCTAAATTTTCATATATATAATGCCTAGATAAAATCCCAGGCCTCGCCCTAACCTTAAAGTAAATGAAAGGAATTTTTTTTTTGTTTTACTGTATGCTAATTATTATTAAAACTAACTTCCATTTATGCGGTCCAATTTTTTTTTTTATATTGAAGGATATTTAAAACGATGGCGAGTTTATTTTTATTTCAAATATCAATATTAGTTTTAATGAATTTGCAGATCATTATCACCAACTCATCTCCTGGGCCGAATTAGATCTGTTTTGATAGTGATGAGTCGAATCAGTCCATATGATGCATATTTGGGTCTCGCCATAGGTTTCGTCAATCGTCAATTCGTCAATCAAAAGTCACCTGACGAAATGTTTTCGTCATTCGTCAATAGCGAAGGTTTTGTCATTCGTCAAGCATCATTAGTATAAAGTTGGAGTTGAAAAGGATGAACGTAAGGCATTTATTTATTTTAAAAAAATCTGCTGATATGGGTGATGTTAGTGGAACATATAATGTTGGTTATTTTAAAATACATTATTTTTTATACCATGGCTACAACGATAGTTTGTTTTTGAATGATTTTATAATACTGTAATAGTCACGTCAAATTTAACTTCTTTATATGATATTCGGTTAATCTCTATATTTGAAAACAACTTATTTTTTGATATTCTCTATGTTTTCAACTTTAATTACCATAAAGTATATATAAAAAAAAAAACACATCATTAAAACGTTGGTTCTCTATATGTATTTGCATAATTTCTGGAATATAAAACAAATTATAATATTTATAACGGTTTTCGCTTTTCGATTATTAATACAGTTTTATAACTATTATTTCAATGATTCAAGGTGCAACAATATATCAAATAAAATAAAATACAGTATCGGTATTAATAAAAATTAAAAACCAAAAATCATAATTTCTGTGCAATCTAAGTTTATTATTTAATTCAGCTAAATTTGACACATGTCTTATTTTTGCGAAAATTGGTCCGAGTTTGCCTGCTTATAGTTAATATCGGTTGGGGTACGAAAAAAAATTTCGTACGACAGCACACGCGATTATCGTTATGCCTTCTAACTCTAATTGGTAGGTCACATGATTATCAAACATAACATTCTAAAGATATGTTACTTAAGTTGATTTGCATGACCAATTAAATAGATTCTTATGGCGACATTTCTGCATTGACTAATCCTATTTTATTTTATTTTATTTTATGTTTTTCAAGTGTGAATGTTACAGTACGCACCTTCCCGAATTAACTGTACATGATGCATAAAAAGTTATTACATTATTGTTATTTCAACACTGTTTAGATGTATCCCACGAAATTAGTAGTACGTAGCAGATAAGGAATGAATACGTAAACGCCCACTTAGAGCCTTTAAATAATAATGAATCGATATTAATATTAATATAATTTTATAGTATTAAATATAATAATTGCATTAAATTGCTTATATTATTTAATTAAATATAACATGAATCAAAAAATCAAAACGGTGCTTTTATTATAAGTAGATTTGGTTTAATATTGTCATAACGATAAGCCATCAGGTGTAAACTGTCAAAAGTCAATAAAAATTAAAAAAGCAAAATTTGATTGTTCATCATTATTATTATGGACTAAATGAGATATTTTAGGTTCCAAAATTTCAGTTTAACCTAAATACATCAATGGAATGCGTGCATGAAAAGAACGCCAATAGCAATAATATTGTTAAAATGTTGCTTTTTTCAGAGTTTATCGTATTAAATCTACAGATAATCCGAATATCGATATTTAAATATATCCAAAAATAATAATAACTGGATTGGAACTCGATTATTTTTTTTTTTATCATACTATTATCAGAAACGAGTCTGAATGAAATTTTTGAAACAATTACATTTTTCACATATGAACATAAACATAGAATGATTTATGTACAGCATGTATGTACTTGTAACAAAGTTCCTATTGATCGAATCTAATAAAATTTTTTGATTAGAACAATAGAAAGTTTTAATTCTTTGTGATATACCAATCATAAATTTTATAGGTAAAAACTGGTTTTTACCTATAAAATTTATGATCGAGTTAACATCTCCAATAACTGACATTAGTACTAGCAATTTATAGACTCGGATAATTGCCTATTAAGCAATGGACATAATTCATAAATATTCTACGTATGAAAATTCATCGATGAATATTTTTTTTTTTTTTTTTTATAGAATAGTTAATCATTAGTGTTTGTGAACAATACTCACGTGGTTTACTTTAATAAGATACATTACCTGTAATATTTGTGATAATTTTATTTTAAAAAAATTTATGTATAAAAAATATTATTTATATATTTATAACATATGGGGTGTGATCTATTAAAACCCCATTTTTACAATTTTTCAAAAATTTTTTTATTTGATTTTTGAATAGATATATATTCAATAAAAAAGTTTGTTTTAAGTTACCAAAGCTAATTATATAATAAAAAGGTTTACAAAATTAACTTTAAGTTGAAAATTTTATATGTATTACTATTATTTAAAATCGATTTACTCAAAATTGTTTATATGTAAAAATGGGTTGTTTAAATAGATCACACCCCATACAATAAATTGACTATTAAATATAATGCAATAAAGTTTTTTAAAAAATAGGGTTATCGTTATGCGTAATTCCTAATGTATTGTTTTTGCAAACACTTTTCAATAAACTTGTACTAGAACAGGATTAATCATTATGAAATTCCTTCCTTCCTATTTTGGTTTAAAAGAAAATTCTTATTTATAATTTTTATGCATGTCAGTTTAACTCATGAACACTTCTAAAAGGAAAGGAATTAAATAAGCAGTTGATTATATCAGAATAAATTTTCTGCATTATTATACTTTTGCTATTTAAATTATTATGATACCGGATACCGAGTTTTTTTTTCACGTACAGTAATAACATTGTATAGTTTATAATATACACTATATGCATAGCATCTATAAACAATCTATGAATAATATTTTGTCAGTAAATCTTTTGAATATAGTGATGTATGATTACTTAGAATATTCAATTCATACTTTCAAATACTATTTTACGCGACTCATCTTTTATTCCTAAAAAAATATTAAAAAAAAAAAAAAAAAAAAAAAAAAAAAATTGAAAAAAATGATATAAAAGAGTGGATTTTTTTTTTTTTTTTGTCATTATAATAAATAAATAATGGATAAAACGGCAAAAAAAAAGTATTGTCATGTAATGATGTTTGATGTTCCGCCACCCTCTTTCACTAAAAATAATAGTAAGTCGGATTCGTCGAACCAACTTACAGTTGATTATACAACATCTTTGGAAAATAGTTCTATTCGTACCCAGGACAATTTCATCTTTACTTCATTTTTGGAGCCTATAAATGTTAGACCGCAGCTTCCTCATAAAAATACACAAATAACTCGCTTAGAGCAGGATAAAGATGCCATAAAGGAACCTATATGTCAAGAAAAAAAGATACGTCGACCTCCAAATTCTTTCATTCTTTATAGACAAGCAATGCAACAGGAGGTAACACGTCTTTATGGAAATATATCAAACTCAATGTTATCAAAAATTTTATCTGACCTTTGGCAAAATGAGTCAGAAGAAGTAAAACTTTACTGGAATAAAGTTGCTGATAAAAAAAGAATGGAACATATGCAGGCATACCCTGATTATTGTTATCGTCCAAAGAAGTTGGGAAATAAATCAAAAAAAAGCCGTAAATTAGAATCCATAGATTCAAAAAAACTTCAGTATATATTGCCGACAACGCAAACGTCATATACTGATATATCTTTTCCTCTCATTTCAGAAAAAATTGATCCTACTTCTTTTTACAATCAATTTGATAATTCAAATTCACAAGTTCCACCTTTACCGTCAATTTTTCCCAAAGATAATTATTATAATAATATTATTAACGATAATACTCAAAATAACGATTCTTATAATGATAATACAGATATCTACCCCTACTAAGCTTCTGATTTCCTTGTATGATCTTTATGTTGTAAAAAAGTTATTTTAATTATTTGACTTTATTAAGCTTATTTATCTAAGGTTTGCAAACCATCCAATTATGACAAAATTATTTTCTGTGATTCTCATAACTTTGTCGATTTTTTTTATGCCTATATAGTAATACTTTTTGTTAATGTAATAAGTATAGCATCTAATCTTTCGTTTTCGATCGTTTGTACAAATTCGTAATTCTTGTTAAGTGATATTTAATAAATATCACATTTCCTCAATATGAAATTAACTACTAGTGGTATATATGAGCTATGGTACTAATTATATAATGTTATAAATAATGATTTGTTTATTTTTAATCACATGAATATTTCATAAATAAAAAATTTTAAGGATTTTTTTTTTTTTTTTTATATCAGGCTATATCTTCTGAGAATGCGTTAACATTAAATTATATTTCAAATTTTTTGTATAGTATTAAATTTAATATACTAATAAAATTAAGCATCTGAAAATGTAGTAATAAATATAATGAAGAAAGTAAATAAACATGATTGTGATTGTATAGTAAGTGAATAATGGAGTCTGCATTAGATATAAAAGTATTATAGATTTGTATTAGTGGATTTTTCCCAGACAGTGTTAATGTATTTTTGTTAACACTGTCCGAGAAAAGTCCACTAATACACAATGACTCAAGATATTATTACTTAATACCCTGACCTCTCACATGACAAAAAACATCATTAGCACATTATTTAAACTTTATATAAACAATAGATATTAAATTTAATGATTTAAACCTTTATATAAAATAACGTCAAATTTAATAATTCAAGTGTTTTCTTTTCTCTAAATTATCAAAATAAAAAAATGAACCGTTCTTTATATTTAACTTATGACGTCTATCTAATATTTGTAAAAATTTGTAAAATCATCGAAATTAAGACTTCAATACACAAAAAAAATTATGCAACCCCCAAAATACCTGATTTATAAATTATATTGATGATATTCAACCTAAGATTGAATGTCTATCGCAGGATTCTTTGTGGAAACTATTTGGTATTATATTATAAAAGTATATATTTATTTTGCATTCATCGTTTATGTTTGCAATATAATTTGTATAGTATCTAATAATTATGAAGCGAAGAAGAAAGAAGGCGACAGTAAAGTTAATTATGAAAATACAAAGATCGACAACTAATATGACTGATAAAAATTATGATTATAAAAGCAAAGGCAACAAATACACTTACACGATCTCGATTATTATTTACTCTTTATCTATTCCACAAGCGATAACAATACTCAAAATTTTTACTTTGATAATTTAAAACCTTTAATTGGGGATAGAGATGGGCAAGGTAATAATGTAAGTAATAATTACTGATTTGTTGTTCGGATTGAATTTTGCATCTTTACTTATTATTATTTATTACATAAAAATAATAAGTAATATGTTACCATAATGTGATATTTGCGAATTGCACATCAATTTTTTAAATCAATTGCCTATTTTGGGGATGTTTAAAGCGGGAGCAACTCATATTTATTAATAATTTTTTCGATTAACTTTAGGGTTAGGGTCATCTTATATTTAAATAAAATATATTATTAGTTAAACAGATAGAGTGAAAAATGATTGCAAAGTAGTTATCATAATAGTTAGTTCTTTCTATTATAAAGTTATGAGTGAGGATCTAAAACTTTTTTTTTTAGTATCTATTTTGTTAAAGTAAATAGATTAGAATAGACAAGTGAAATTATTAGGTTTGCTATTAATCTGATTAATTCTTGTATTTATATGAACTATTTTAGTGTTCGACCTCTGAAAATTTTAAGTATGTTATAGTAAAAATCTTGTCAGTTAGAAAGTTCAGTATTGTTGTAATAAGGAATTATTTAATATAGTATATTGCATATTTGTTTAGCTGTTGTTTTAGTATATGTACTTGAAGATAGTTTGTTATTGTCTTGTTAATTAGAGTACTTTTAGTATTGAAAGAATTAGCTAGTTTATCTTTTCATTTCTTAAAAACTGAATATTTAAAGAATGAATTACAAAAACTAATTTTTCTATATATATATCATTTTGTCTTTTTAGTAATAATAGAAGGTAAAAGAGTATAGAGAGATTTGATATAGTAGAATCTTAAATTTGTTGTAGTTAAATTTTTAGGAATTATGAGTTAATATTAGAATAGTTACAATTTCTTAAAAGTATAGATAATAGATATAATTTTTGAATTTATTACATATCTTTTAAGGTATAAATCTCTGAATAGTAGAGAAAGGAGTTAGAAATTCTACATGATAGTCTTGCTTTTTGTTTTACTATATTGATATTTAAGTAATTAAGTGTAAGTAATTAGAAGTATGAGAGAAAAAAACTATTAAGTCAATATAAAATTCATAGTTTTATAATATTATTAAGGGTTTTGTAATTTAATGCCTATGTGTTATAATGCTAACTAATAAGATTACAGGATCAGGTGTAATATGAAAATCAAAACAAAAGTAATTTTTTAAAGAAATTACTTGTAACTCAATTTTTCATTTATGAAACCTTCTTTTGCATTCTAATAAAAAAAATTTCTAACAAAATTTTGAGTTAAAGACATTTTGTTATTACTCTTCTCTAACTCTAACTCTAAACTAAATGCAAAAAATTTGTTTTGATTTTTATATTATATAATCAGAAACTTTTAGAAGTAGTGATAAATTATATAGGTAAAAAATAATAAAATTCTTATTAATAATATATATTGCTTGTTTTTCTGTAATATATAATTATAGTAGTAAACAAAAAGTTTGAGTTATTTATAAGCTAAAAATAGATAATTTTAAGAAAATTTTTTACTCAAAAATTTGATTAATATTTTTAGACAGACTACTTTAATTTAAGTTCTAGAGATATAATTTTTAAAGAAATTTAATAAAACTTTCAAAAGATTACAACTTTTATTATTACAACTTTTATGATTTAATTGAAAGAATTTAGACTTATATTAGAAGAGAAAAATTTTTTTAGCTTTAGAAATATATAAAATTTATAAATTTTAGAAGAAAAAATTTTATAGTAAAAATTTTTAAA